GGCGAGGCTTTTCCTTTTCCTTTTTGGCATGCCACACATACAAGGAATGGATGACATTCCTTATACTAGTCAAGAAACAAAACCTCAAACCCAATAGCACATGTGCGCTGGTGCCAGATGGCCAGGGTCTGGAATGGCATATCTAGTCCTGGGGAGGTGCAGCCTAATGTGACCAGTAAGTGCCATGTAAGAATGTTGCCAGATATTCACAATATTTTTCTTCCTTAGTCCCCAAACCCAGACTTTTATATGAAATCTTAGAATTTGTAACTATTGGTAACAAATTGTTTTCTTTTTTTCTTTAAATAAACCGTACGGGTCAAAGGGGCATCATGGACTTGTCTGGGGGCTATCTGGCTCACAGGTGGTAGTTTCTTACATCTTCTCAGTCTCAAGTTATCTGGCATCATCTCTTCCCTCTTCAGGGTCAAGTCGGTGGTGCCTGGCCTCAAAGAGGGCTCAGCCTGCATTAGCACATTTCTAAGTGGCCTCTGAGAGCTGGGCACTGTGCCAGCCTCAGAGTACATCAGCATCAGGGTACAGGGGTTCACACCAGAGTGGGTGCCCCAGAAGCCACCATGTGGAACAGGGATCCCATGAAGAGAGTGGATCCTGGATCAGGTTGCACCATGACAACTTCCCAAGCCTCGGATAGCCCAGGTTTTCTGGACTGGAAGCCTAGGCTGGCAATAAACCTTTTTAACTTGCTGAGTGCCTTCTTTTTCTTGGCTGCCTGCTTCCCTGAGCATGGCTGGGTGTTTTGGAAGTTTGTTTGTGATGGGCTGTTGCTGTGGAAGGACTTGGTGGGTGGTACAGGGGAATCCAGGCATCACCAAACATGGGTGCTCGTGTTTATCTCAGCAGCAGCTGGGATTTCTGCTCTGCTCTGATTAACTGAGCCTGAGCTCTCAGGGTACGATTTCATGTTTCTTAGCCTAGAGTTGTTTTCCATTCTATCTTCCTTTGGTGTGTGTGTGTGTCTCGGGTGCTTTCTACTTTTAGTTTGAGACAGGGTCTCACTAACCTGGAACTTGCTATGCAAGCTAGGCTAGCTAGCTAGTGAGTGGTAGGGTATCTATCTGCCTGCCTCTACCTTACATCTCACCATCACTGTAATAACAAATTATTCCACCATGCCCAGTGTTTTACGTGGCTTTTAGGGATTTGAACTCAGTTCCTCACACTTGTAAGTACTTGACTGAGAGCCTCTCCCCATTCTTTCATTTTGAGACAGGGTCTCACTCTATTCTAGAGTGGCCTCAAACTCCTTATGTACCAGACTCCTATGTCCCTAAATTTGACTGCGTCCTTATGCCTTCAGGATAACAAGCCTATACCACCATGTCTAGCTCTCGTTTGATTTCTCGTTTGCATTCTGCTTTTATTCATTGGTTTTGCTAGGTGGTATATACTAGCCTAGAACTAAATCTTCCTGTTCGCTGGGATTATATGCTTATGCCACCAAATCTGCACCCAGTTCAGAACAGAACTTTACTACCTCAGGAAATTTTTTTGTTTGTTGAGACAGGGTTTCTCTGTGTAGCTTTGGAGGCTGTCCTGGAACTTGCTCTGTTGACCGGTCTGGCCTCAAACTCACAGAGATCTGCCTGCCTCTGCTTTCCAAGTACTGAGATTAAAGGCATGTGTCACAACCACCCAACACAGGAAATCTTTTATGTATGTCATACTTATTAAAATGTGCTTGGATGTCTCTTGAGGGGTGGAGGTAAGTTTTAAGGGTGACACCTCAGATCATGGGACAAAGTAGAATGTTGTATTTTGGGGCCTAGAAAGAAGGAAATGAGGTGTTAGGGAGCAGGCACTTGAAGAGAATATTGGCACACCAGCCTGTTTTTTTTCTGTTTGCTTCCTGCCCACAAGAGGTGAGCATGTCTGCATACATTCCACTGTGACACCCTGCTTCCCAACCCTATATAGATCATTCCCTCATGGTACCCCATTTCCCAACCCTGCATACATCATCCTGTTATACTACTCTGCTTTGCCATACACTGTTGTTGTTTCTTACTCTTTGTTCTTTGGGGGTGCCTGTCACCCATCTCCCAGTTAAGTCACATGGGCTTATTATAAATGCCCAGCCTTAGCTTGGATTGTTTCTTACCAGATTTTCTTAATTTATCCCATCTACCTTTTGCCTCAGTGTTTTTACATTTCTCTATTTTTGACTACCTTTTCTTTCCTTCTTATTCTGTGTCTGGCTGTGTAGCTGGGTGGCTGGCCTCTTTTCTTGTCCCTTGATTTTTTTTCTCTTTTTTTTCCTATTTATTCTCTCTGCTTGCCAGCCCTGCCCATCCTTTCTCCTGCCTTGCTATTGGCCACACAGCTCTTTATTAGACCAACCAGGTGTTTTAGACAAGCAAAGTAACACAGCTTCACAGAGTTCAACAAATGCAACATAAAAGAATGCAACACATCTTTGCATCATCAAACAAATGTTCGACATCATAAATGAACTAACACATCTTAAAATAATATTCCACAACAATACACCCTCCTGAATACTAGGATTAAAGGTGTGTGTCACCATGCCCAGTCTTCAAGGTGGGTTTTTAATTCTGTATGTGGGTTTTTTTCTCTTATGTTTCTCTCTTATTGAGAGGGTCTCAATGTAGTCCATGCTAGTCTCAAACCTGTGAAAGCTGAGAGTAACTGATCCTCCATTCTCAGCTTCCAGAGTTCTGGGATTGCAGGTGTGTGGTCCATGTGCATGCCACCATATATGGCATATATTTGGTGGCATACACACACACACACACACACACACACACACACACATATGGAAACAGGGTCTCACTGTATAGCCATGACTAGCCTGGAATTCACTCTGTAGAACAGGCTGGCCTTGAACTCACAGAGATCCACCTGCCTCTGGCTCCAGGGTGCTGGGATCAAAGCCAGCTTGGAGCCAATCTGAAGGCAACCTAATGACTAAGTCTTGGCCAATTTGAGTAACAGAAAATGACAATAATTTGTTTGAACCTTTTAAATAAGAACACAGGATAGAGTCCTGTATACAGTGGAATCCTAAAGAAAAACAGAAATAGAAAAAGATCAGCAGCCTCAGGAGTAATGTCACAGGCAAGAATCCCATGTGGATGCTAAGACTGGGACCAAACAGCACAGGGAGCAAGTATCCGAATGCTCTCAAAAGTCTATCTGGCAGGGCGTGATGGCTCACACCAGCCCTTAGAGGATTATAATTCAAGGCTAGCCTGGGCTATAGTTGAGACCCTGTGTCAAAAACAAGACAAAATCCTATAAAATGAATAATTACCAAAGGACGTGTGCCATTTCTCTGACGTTCTCTTTAGAAGTATAGAGTCATTTCAATATAGCCAGTTATTTCAATATGATCAGACAGCCCTGAATAGCTCTGCAAGGTTGTCACGGCCAGGAGCAATAAGGGAAGATCTAGAACAGTCACATACCGGGAGAGATATAAAGTATAAAGACATGCTGTGAGATCTCTGTTTCGATGCTGGATCAGAATAACTTTTCAGCCATGTTTGTGACACGGTTCTGGCTGTGGTCGTGGTGGGCTGTTAGCATTAATGACTGGTAGGGGAGGCAATATACAAACTATTGTGTCTTGCTTTAGAAGTTTTTCAAAACTAAAAGGTTGTGAGACTGCTTTGTGGAAGTTTCTATTGGTTTCTTTTACGTGTATTTATTAGGTATGTGCAGGGAGAGCAAGTATTCAGGCATTTGTGCCATGGTACAAATATGGAGGTCAGAGGATAACTTTTGGGAGTCAGTCTCTCCTACTGTGGATTGGGGATTAAACTGATGTTTGGCAATTGTGGGTGGTTAATTACCTTTGCCTGCTGAGTCATCCCAATTTAAAAATTATTTTAATTAGCATAAACTTCCATTTCATTGTTGCATTTTCAAACAAAATTTGTTGATTCTCTTCCCTCCTCCCTGTGCCCCCTCCTGTGGACCTTTTCCCTTCTGGTAAGTGCCTTTCTGTGTCTACATCACATGGCGTGTTCTATTACCCTCCCTCAAATCCTCCCCCACAACACTGATTTCTGCGTCTCACAGTCCCCTTTCCGGTTTCATTATCTGTACCCACACCATGCACACAGTTCCTTCTAAAGAAGAAAAAGCCCCACAGATCTGAGCCTGCTCTTATGTCACTTCACCCTGGAAAGGAGAGAATACACAGACGTGTTGCCAACATATAGGCTCTGGGGAAGGCAGCAGCTCTGTCATGAGATCTGAGGATGAGAAGTGGTTAAGTTGTTAGAGGCCCAAAAGGAATAAAAAAAAGAGTAAAAGAGGCCCAAAAGGAATAAAATAGGTGGAGGGGGAGCATGGTGCTTGGGGGATGGGACAGGCTGGCACGGCTGCAAGGAGAAGGCACTTGATGTCAGAAAAGGCTGGGAAGATAGGAGGGGCTGTTAGTTCCCAAGACCATCAAGATTCAATTTCTAGAGGAATCATCAGTAAGTTACTTCCAAATGGAGTGTCATCCATGCCACAGAGAAGTTTACCTGGGATTGGGTACCAGCTTATGGGGCTTTTGTAGCTTTGAGTCAGGTACACCCTGGAAATAACCAACAATAAATATTGTCACTCTAAGAGAGTTACCAGCTAGCTTTACTCATTCACACAGCTAATAAACCCGCTGCTGCCTTTGTGCTATGTATGTTCATACAGCAGTATGAACTTAGTAGCTAATTTGTTTTTGTTTTTGAGATTATGTCTTACTGTGTTGCCCAGACTGGACTCCAATTCATGATCCTCCTGCCTCAGCCTCCTGAGTGCTGAGATTACAGCCATGTGCCATCATGCGTTAGCTTGGTAGCTAATCTTTAAAGTCTTTTTCTTCTTTGTGTGTGTATGATGTTTATGCGATAGCGTATGTGTGGAGGTCAGAGGGCAACCTCAGGTGTTCAATGTCCTTTTGCCTTCCACCTTGAGACAAGGTCTCTGATTTTCAGCTTTGCATGTGCCAGGCTCCCTGCCTTTGGGCTTCCGGGGTTCTCCTGTTTCTGCCTCCCATCTGTCTGCAGGAGAAATGAAATTGCAGACTCATGCAACCACAGACTTATGCAACTATGCTTGCTTTATGTGGTGCTGGGGATTCAAACTGGGGTCATCAGACTTGTGCTTTATCCACTGAAACTTCTTCTTAGCCCTGCTAAATATTAAAAAAGAAATAAAAAATATAGTGTTTGTATGTGTGTGTGCATGTGACATGAATGTGCATGTACTACTGAGTGTGTGTGCCTGTGCCATAGTGCTTGTGTGTGTGAAGGTCAGAGGACAACTTCTAGAAATTGGCTCTCTCCTTCCACCATGTGAGTACAGGAGACTGATTTCTTGTTTTGTTTTGTTTTTCAAGACAGGGTTTCTCTGTAGCTATGGAGCCTGTCCTGGAACTCTCTCTGTAGACCAGGCTGGCCTTGAACTCACAGAAGTTTGCCTGCTTCTGTGTCCCAAGTGCTGGGATTAAAGGTGTGAGCCACCACTGCCCAGCTTGGAGACTGATCTTGAGTTGTCAGGTTTTGCAGCAGCTCCCTCACACCTAGAACTTTAAAACATTTTAATTTTAAGATAGGCTCTTGCTAAATTACCTAAGCTGGCCTTGAACTCACATTGTGGTTTACACACATACACATGCACACATCCTGGCAGGTCTGGGAATTCTCTGTGTAGGTCCATGAGGCTGGTCTTGAATT